CCCCCCCCAGCCCCTCTCCTGTTGCTCCTGCAGCTCCTGTTGCTCTCCAGCCTCATCCTGCCGGGAAGCCGGAGGAGGCTGCGGAGGGAGTGAGGCCCTCGGGCTGGAGCTGCCCCAGCCCTGCTCCCCCCGGGCTGTTGGGAGCACAGAGGAGCCAAATCCCACCCGGGAATGGCACAAAGAGCCCCCTCGGGCTTTGTGCCACCAAGGGCCTTTGGGGGGCCCCTCCAGACCCCTCAGTCTGGCACTGCCAGAGCCTTTTGGGAGGCACTGGGATCCAGGAGCACCCCGGGAGCGGGGGGTGCCAGGGCTGTGCCTGTCACTGGAGCGGTGAGCAGGGACCCCCTGGACAGCAGGAATGTCCCCCTCGTCCCCCACGGCCACCGACCTGCTCATCCCCTCCATGGGCTGTTCCAGGGAAACCTGAATCCCTGGATACAGGCAGAGGGACCCCCAGGCACAGACAGGGCCAGGGGACCCCAAAAGCTCCAGGCAGCCCCTCACATCCCTGCATATGAACAATGGAACCCCCTGGCAGGGCCAAAGGACCTCCCAGCAGGATTATGGGCAGAGGGGACCCAAAAGTTCCAGGCAGCCCCTGAATCCCTGGATAGGGACAGAGGGACCCCCCAGCAGGGCAGAGGGGACCCCAAAAGCTCCAGGCAGCTCTTGAACTCCTGGATATGGAAGAGGGACCCCCCAGCAGGATTATGGGGCAGAGGGAAACCCCGGGAAGGCCACGGCCAGGGGGGAGCCTGGGGAAGGGACAGCAAAGCACGAGCCTGGCCCTGGATCCGGGCAGGGATCCCGGCAGGGGACACAGGACCCGGACTCACCCCTGCCGGCCGTCGCCATGTGTGTCCCCTGGTGTCCCCTCTGCTGTCCGTGTGTCCAACTTCAGTTGCTGGAGCAGGGGCGCATCGTCCGGGAACGGAGCTGGAGCAGGGAGCGGGCAGGGAATGAGCAGGGAAAGGGCAGGGAATGGGCAGGGAGCGGGCAGGGAATGAGCAGGGAAAGGGCAGGGAATGAGCAGGGAATGGGCAGGGAGCGGGCAGGGAATGAGCAGGGAAAGGGCAGGGAATGGGCAGGGAATGGGCAGGGAACTCCCCCCGTGGCTCTGGGAAAGGGGGATTCCCCCCCATGCCCTCTCACTCCCCGTGTCCCCCCCTGTCCCCTCGTTCCTCCCCATCCCCTCTCACCTCCCGGTGTCCCCTCTCACCACCCCCTTTCCCCCCCATCCCATCTCACACCCCATGTCCCCCTCGTATCCCCGTATCCCCCCGTATCCCCCCGTGTCCCCCATCCCCTCTCACCCCCCGGTGTCCCCTCTCACCCCCGTATCCCCCTGTATCCCCCCGTTTCCCCCATCCGCTCTCACCCCCCGGTGTCCCCCCGTATCCCCCATCCCCTCTCACCGCTCGTATCCCCCCGTATCCCCCCGTTTCCCCCTTCCCCTCTCACCGCCCGTATCCCCCCGTTTCCCCCATCCCCTCTCACCCCCCGTATCCCCCCGTATCCCCCCGTTTCCCCCATCCCCTCTCACCCCCCGTATCCCCCCGTATCCCCCCGTTTCCCCCATCCCCTCTCACCGCCCGTATCCCCCCGTATCCCCCCGTATCCCCCTGTATCCCCCGTTTCCCCATCCCCTCTCCCCCCCCCCGTATCCCCCCGTTTCCCCATCCCCTCTCACCGCCGTATCCCCCTGTATCCCCCCGTTTCCCCCATCCCCTCTCACCCCCCGTATCCCCCCGTATCCCCCCGTATCCCCCCGTATCCCCCTGTATCCCCCCGTTTCCCCCATCCCCTCTCACCCCCCGTATCCCCCTGTATCCCCCCGTTTCCCCCATCCCCTCTCACCCCCGTTCCGTCCCCTCCGCGGCCGCTCCGCTCCCGGTCCCCGCTTCCCGCTGCCGGGCCCCGCCCTCTCGCTCCCATTGGCCAGCGCTCCCCCAGCGCCGCTCCCATTGGTCGGCGGCCCCGCCGGTCACGCCCCCGGGCCCCGCCCCCCAACGGCCTTCCCCGAGCGCTGCGGGGGGCGGGACCGTTGCTGGGGGCGGGGCCGGGGCCGCGGCAGCCAATGGGAGGCGGGCGCGCGCGGCGAGGGCGCCCCCTGCGGGCGGAGGGGGAACTGCGGGGGGTGGGCGGGACCCCCGGCGCGCGGGGCCGTTGCCATGGAAACGGGGCGATGGCCCAGGGGCGGGGGGCTCCGACACCGATCGCGACAGCGCCGCGACACCGCGGGGAGGGCCCGTCCCACCCCACCCCATCCCACCCCAATCCATCTCAGTCCATTTCATCCCATCCCATCAAATCCCATCCCATCCCCATCCTATCTCCCCTCCTCCCCTCCCCTCCCTTTCCCTCCCTTCCACTCCCCTCCCTCCCATCCCATCCCATCCCCACTCCATCCTAATTCCAATTCCATCCCATCTTGTCCCATCCCATCCCATCCCTACCCCATCCCTTGTCATCCCACCCCACTCCATTCCATTCCATCCCCACCCCATCCCATTTAATCCCAATTCCATCCCATCCCATCCCACCCCTTCCTGTCCCACTCCATTCCACGCCATTCCATCCCCACTCCATCCCATCCCATTTAATCTCAGTTCCATCCCACCTCATCCCATCCGATCCTCCCCCATCCCACCCCACCCCTGGATACAGCTGAGCCTGGGAACAACCAGTCCCATCCCGAGGGATCTCCCAGGGCCTGGCTGGCTCCGTGCTGACCTCCTGTCCCTCCCTGCTGGGTCAGGGGACACGTCATGGAGGGGGGACATGAGGGACAGGGGGACATGAGGGACAGGGGGACATGAGGGACAGGGGGGACATGTCACTCCCAGGGGGCTGAGCTGACCCCTCAGCCCGGCAGCTCCAGCTGCCAGATCACTTAAAACACCGGGATCCACATTCCCAGGGATCCATGGACATCCTGGGGGAACGGGGCCAGGGGTCACCGTGAGGGACAGGGGAGAGGGGACACCCCAGGGGGACAGCAGGGTCCCAGTGAGGGACCTCAGTGTGACCCCTGGCCCAGCTCCCCCAGGATGTCCGTGGATTCCTGGGAATGTGGATCCCGGATACAGTGAAGGACAGGGGACATGTGAGGGACAGGGGACACGTGAGGGACAGGGGGTTCATGTCACCCCAGGGGGCCGAGCTGACCCCCAGCCCGGCAGCTCCAGCTGCCAGAAAGCTTAAAAATCCGGGATCCACATTCCCAGGGACCCGCAGAGCCCCAGCTGTGTCCTCACCGCTGGCACAGGGACACCACACACGGGAGGGGACACGTGGGGCCTGGCTCGTCCCCTGCCAGGACACCCCACACCCACATCGGCCAAACCCACCGGGTTTGCCCTAAAAAGTGCCCCTGGCACAGGGACGGTCCCCAGAGCCACCCCCAGGCACGTCCCCATGGCCGGGGATGTCACCTGGGGGGGACAAGAGGCAGAATGGGGGACACGGGGGGGTCCCTCAGTGCCAGGTTGAGCTGTGGGGGCCCTGTCACCCCCCCCCGGGGTCCCTGTCCCCCCATCCCCGTGTGTTGGGGTCCCTGTCCCCCCATCCCCGTGTGTTGGGGTCCCTGTCCCCCCAGCTCCGTGTGTTGGGGTCCCTGTCCCCCCAGCTCCATGTGTTGGGGTCCCTGTCCCCCCATCCCTGTGTGTTGGGGTCCCTGTCCTCCCTGCTCGGTGTATTGGGGTCCCTGTCCCCCCAGCCCCATGTGTTGGGGTCCCTGTCCCCCCAGCTCCATGTGTTGGGGTCCCTGTCCCCCCATCTCTGTGTGTTGGGGTCCCTGTTCCCCCACCCCCGTGTGTTGGGGTCCCTGTCCCCCCATCTCTGTGTGTTGGGGTCCCTGTCCCCCCATCCCCGTGTGTTGGGGTCCCTGTCCTCCCTGCTCGGTGTATTGGGGTCCCTGTCCCCCCCAGCTCCATGTGTTGGGGTCCCCGTCCTCCCCATCCCCGTGTGTTGGGGTCCCTGTCCCCCCATCCCCGTGTGTTGGGGTCCCTGTCCCCCCCAGCTCCGTGTGTTGGGGTCCCTGTCCCCCCAGCCCCATGTGTCGGGGTCCCTGTCCCCCCCACCTCCATGTGCCGGGTCGGATTTGCTCCGGGATTACAACAACAAACGGATTTGGGAAGGGATTAAATCCCAGCGTCCGTCGGGCTGAGCAGCCAACGGTGCCCCCGCGGGGTCCCCACACTGCTGGCCCTTGCCTGCTGTCCCCATACCAGTGTCCCCACACCGGTGTCCCCACACTGCCAGCCCCACACAGATGTCCCCTCCCACGCTGATGTCCCCACAATGATGTCCCCACCCTGCTGTCCTCACGCTGATGCCCCCACAGTGTCCCCACGCTGATGTCCCCACGCTGTCATCCCCACGCTGATGTCCCCTCTCCCATTCTGATGCCCCCACGGTGTCCCCACACCTCTGCCCTTGCTCTGATGTCCCCACCCCGCTGTCCCCACAGTGTCCCCCCACTGATGTCCCCACCCCGCTGTCCCCACATTGTCCCCACACTGATGTCCCCACCCCACAGTGTCCCCACACTCCCTCTGGCGACAAACCCACCCCACAGCGCCTCCAGCTCATCCCAGCGACCATCCAGGACTTTAATTCCCAACGTGGGAGGAGAACGGAGCGGGAGCCCGTGGTGGGAACTGGGAGGACCTGGAGGACACTGGGAGGCACTGGGAGGCCCTGGAGGGCACTGGGAGGCGCTGGGAGGCACTGGAGGGCACTGGGAGGCACTGGGAGGCACTGGAGGGCACTGGGAGGCGCTGGGAGGCACTGGAGGGCACTGGGAGGCACTGGAGGGCACTGGAGGGCACTGGGAGGCGCTGGGAGGCCGTTCGGTGGTGGGAGGTGTCCCGAGGGCCCCTCAGCGCTGCTGTCCCCGTCCCTGTCCCCGTCCCTGTGCCTGCCCCTGTCCCCGTCCTTGCTGCAGCCGCCGGCTCAGGTCGTCGATCCGCAGGTTCTTGAGGAGCAGGAGCTGCTCCAGCCGCTCCACCTTCGCCTGCAGGATCTGGGGGGAACCCCCGGGGGGGTTTGGGGGGGTGGGAGGCACCTCCACCCGCCCCAGACCCATCCCGGGGGGTCTGTCTGGGACAGGGGACAGGGAATGCGGGGACAGGGAATGTGGGGACAGGGAATGCGGGGACAGGGAATGCGGGGACAGGGAATGTGGGGACAGGGAGGTTTCACCTTTACTGGGGGGACACCGAGGCAGGGGAGGAGCAGAGGCAGATTTGGGGTCCCAATCGCAGCCCCCACAACCCACATCGACATAACCCCCCCAGATCAGGAGTCCCAGCCCTTCCCAGGCCCCGGGGAAAACTTCTCCCCACTCCAGACATCCCACAGAATTCCTGCCCCACCCCCCCAACATTTTACATCTCGGATGTTTTCCAGCAGGAAAAAAAAATAACGATTTTAGGCAGTTTTCGGGGTGAAGCCGCCCCCAAACCCACCCAGGGGGGGTTCCTGGAGCCCCGGGCCGAGGCCGCGGGGGGGGGCTGTGGGTGCGCTGGGAACAGGGAATGAGGGCACGGGCGGGCGCCGGGCATGGAAAGGGAAAAGCTGCTCCCAGAGGGGAGCGATCCGCAGGGAGAGGCTTTCCGAGGGATTTCACGGGATAAACGCCGGGCAAACGCCGTCTGGCGCGGCGGGAGGAGGGGTCGCAGCCGTGCCCCCCCGTGCCCGTCCCGCCGGGATCGGCTCACCTGGATGGTCTCCCGTGCCAGCCGCAGCGCCTGCTCCCGCTCCACCAGCTGCAGGCGCATGGCAGCGTCCCCCGGCACCCCCCCGGGGGGCTTCGGCACCCCCCTGGGGCGGGACAGGCCGTGGGGGGACAAGCACCGGCCCCTCCCGCGGCCCCGGAGCTGCACGGGCTGGGGGGGGGTCCCCACGTCCTGCTGCCCCCTCCCCATGGCTCAGCACTCCCCAGATCCCCACGGGGACCCCCAGGGACACACGGGGACCCCCAAGCTGTATGGAGACCCTCTGACCCACACAGAGATCCCCTGACCCCCATGGGGACCCCCAGGGCCACACGGGGACATCCAGACCCCCACGGGGACCCCCAAGGACACATGGGGACCCCCAGGCCCCCACGGGAACCCCCCAGGTGCCATGGGTACCCCCAGGGCTGCATGGAGACCCCCTGACCCACACAGGGATCCCCTGACCCTCACGGGGACCCCCAGAGCCACATGGGGGGCCTCTGATCCCTATAGGGACTCCCCTGACCCTCATGGGGACCCCCAGAGCCACATGGGGCTCCCAGAGACACACGTGGACCCCCAGAACCACATGGGGACCCCTTGGCCCCCACAGTGACCCCCAAATCCCCACGGGGCCCCCCAAAGCCACATGGGTCCCCCAGAGCCCCACAGGGACCCTCTGACCCCCACAGGGCCACTCAGAGCCCCACAGAGACCGCCCAAACCCCACAAGGACCCCCCAGACCCTCACAGGGACCCCCAGACCCCCCCGGGGACCCCCTGACCCACAGGGCCCCAGGAGGGGCACGTCCCCTGCCCAGCCCTTACCTGGCAGCCCCCTCCCAGGAGCAGCCCCCTCCCACGTCACTCCTGCCCTGGGAATGGCCTGGAAAACCCAGCAGGGAGTTTGTCACCCACCCAAACACCTCTGTCCCCTCCCCTGCCCCCTCAGGCCTCCCGGGGCTACTTTTGGGGTGTCCCAGGGCCGGTTGTGTCCCCTCCTGGGGACCACAAACGTCACGGCGAGGGGAATTGGGGCCCCCCTTTCCCGCAGCCCTACCTGTGTCCAGGTATCCGCCCTCCTCTGGCACTGCCGGAGCTCCCGGGGGCTGCAGGGAGACGGGAAAGCTGGGAGAGGAGGGAAAACACCCGGCACACCTGGCCAGGAGCTGGGGGGGCCCTGGGGACACCCACCCCTGCCAGGGGCAGGGACACCTCCCACTGTCCCAGGTGGCTCCAGCCTGGCCTTGGACACTCCCAGGGATCCAGGGGCAGCCACAGCTTCTCTGGGAAACTCATTCCAGAGCTTCACCACCCTCCCAGCCAGCAATTCCTTCCCAATTTCCCACCTAAATCTCCATTTCTCCAATTTTAATCCATTCCCTGTGTGCTGTCCCTCCCTGCCTTGTCCCCAGTCCCTCTCCAGCTCTCCTGGAGCCCCTTCAGGCCCTGCCAGGGGCTCTCAGCTCTCCCTGGAGCCTTCTCTTCTCCAGGGGAACCCCCCCAGCTCTCCCAGCCTGGCTCCAGAGCAGAGGGGCTCCAGAACCCTGGCACGGGTTGGCTGGGAAGGGATTCCACATCCCACCGACTCCAAGCCCTGGGCAGGGACACCTCCACTAGCCCGGGTTGCTCCACGCCCTGGCCAGGGGCACTCCCGGGGATGGCAGGAGGTGGCCCAGCCCCCCCCTGGTGTCCCCCCGGTGTCCCCCCCGGTGTCCCCCTGGCAGTACCCCCCTGGTGTCCCCCCGGTGTCCC